TTCGTACGTTTCGCCGTGTTAATAACATTTCGGTCTGTCCGACCGCGTCTCGGCGGCGCTTTACCGATATTGAAATAGTTTCCCGCCCGTAACAATTATTACGGAATTAAATTAAAATACCGCGATAATATACGGCACACGGCAGGTGTACGTGACCGATATGCGCAGACGATCGACAAAAGGCGGAATTCCCGTTACCAGACATTGTTATTTCGACACGGAATTTCGTGTTTGAACCGTCAAAGTTTATCTCCCCTCCGGTTACACGCCCTCGTGCACGCGCACCTACGCACGCATGAAGCCCGAACACATTTCGGTTATCGTAAATTGTTCAGCGCCGCGGGTCCCGTACGCCCGTGCCGAGTACGCGTCGGGGCGATTTAACGAAATCCGTCTGACCGGTTACTCTACCGGACGAACGATAATTTCGGAACAGCGTTACGGGGTGCGACGGCGAGCGCGACGACTCGAGAAAAACGTTTAAAATAAAAGTTTCGAAAAAATTAAATTTAATTAACGGCGCCCACTAATCGGGGCGTAGCGAGGAATCTATCGATTTTTCTCGTACGTGTTTTACTGTGCGTAAAAGGGACAGTCGCCTGTCTGAGGTATCGGCCGTCTACCGTATCCAAACGACCGAACGGCTTTTAATTAATCGAACGGTTACATTGCAATAATCAATTTTAATTTGGCGTGTTTCATTCGTCCTGCTGACATCGAAACGATTTCTTTCGAAGATCGAGATTGTCTTTCTTTCTTTTCTTTTTTTTTTTCCGTTTCTATTCGCGGCCGCGCGAAACGAATGCGCAAACACGCAAAACGCCGGCGGTCTTCCGCGCCGGTAAAGGCGACAACGTCGTAATCGAATAAAATACCGCGCGGGCGTCACGAGCGCCGGCCGGTTCCGGCCGGCGGGAATTGTAATTGACGCGAGCGCATCGCAATCATTTCTTTACTGCCGGTCGGGGGTCCGATCGACCGCGTTAAAACCGCCGCGTAAAACAGTGCGCGCGCGGCGAATCGCCATTACCGCCGGGGACGACGGCCGCGTATTTTCGCGGGTTTTTAGCGCGCGAAACCTGTACTCGACGAGCCGAACACGCTGCGGGGCGCGGCGCTCCGCTTTCAGACCGCCCGAACGCCGTTTACGGATGCGCGCGCGCGCGCCGTGACGGTTTAGTCCGCGTTTCGTTCGCGCCGTGCCGACGTCTTCGTCGCGCGGTGTTCGCGGCACCGCGAACCGTTGCGAAACCGTTGCGGGCGTCCGCAACCGCCGACCCGCGCGCGCCGCGCGGCAATTCCCGTGTGCCCGGCGGTTACCGGTGTACGGCCGCCGAAAACGCCCACTACGACCCCGGCGTTCTCGCGCGCGATCCCGCGCCCGGAACGGACCGGACGCGGCGTACCGATTCGACCGGACGCTAATGCTCGTGTTGCACGCGTGCACAATCCGTGTTCGTATACGTGCACGGGACGGTTCGCCGTGCGCGCCGGCGGCATTTATTCTCCGGTTAAATTCGTCACGAAACTCAAAGAGCGTCCGCTCACGACTTCTTCGGTTTTTCAAACGAGAACCCACATCGAAAATCCCGCGGAAAAGACGGGGTGCGTTTCGGCGCCGACATTTTCGGTTCGCGTCGGCCCGTCGACGGGACATTTCACTGTTAAGTTTATGCGAGGGGGGAGAGTAGTGGAACGCTAATAAAACGCCGCACGCCGCGCCGTGCCGCGAATGATACGCGAACGATAAATGCTCCTGCCGCCTAAACTTAACAGTCGAATGTCTCGTGTTGACGGAAAATCGAAAATGTTGACACCGTCTTTTCGCGGAAATTTCAATATTAGGTTCTCGTTTTAAAAACCAAAGTCGGCACCGCTACCGACATACCCCTTTGAACGTCGTGAAAAATCGAAGTATTTAAAATTATCGGCATAAACTGCACTTCTGAATTTGAATGTATTATGCAAAATTCAATCGGAAAAAAGGGGCGAGCACGCTTAGTGAATCATCCTGCATATATTTACGTACACAATACGTACAGATATATTCGATTTCAACATTGGTAGACGGATTACCCGTATGTTATTACAGACACCGTATAACACCTAACCTGAATTATATTTATAATGATATTCGTACGCGCATGGTATTATTCTTTTAAACCGTCGAAAAAGACGTTTTTTCGTTCAACGCGTGTCTCCGCCGTTTATTTTACAACGATTTTTTTCTCCGATTAAAAATAATTAATTTTATACGTAGCTAGTTCCAACGAGCTATAATTTATATAGTATTGTAGTGTAGCAGATGTAATATCAACACAATTATTATTAATTTACCTTATTAATTTTAACTGCAAAAAAAAAAAATAATAATAAAATAATACGCACGAAGGTGGACAAGTTAATGAACGTAATTTATCAACTCAATTATAAATCGAGTTTAGTAAAAAAAGAAAAAAAAAAAAGGGAACCTTCGCAGTTAAATGTCGAAAGTTAACAAAAATAAATTTAATTTGATAAGTCAAAAAATGTTAAAACGCGATAAATGTTATACATTTTACACCTACCTAGAAACGTCCCACTAGGTATACGTTTAACCGTATGCAATTATAACTACGCTTTTACGACCGATTGAATTTGAATACTTATTCTGAACGGAGTTCAGTTGATCATGATGTTTTATCAACAATATATACAGTATGTCCCACCGTCTTCGGTGGATTTTTCTAGCGCTGTTAATATTAAATTTTTTTTCTATTCTTTTTTTTTTTCATACGATGTCCCCCGCCCCAATCAACTTGTATTACCTTTTAATACTAGATAATACGAAATAATAATTAATTCTGTACACTGTCTTTAAATTAATTTTCATAATTATATCGATTGCCTAATTAAATATCACATACTCCAAAAAAGTAAAAGTTTCTTTGTGACCTTAAATCGATAATCATAGGCTATGGATAAATAACTTGGATAATTACAATTGAGCCAGTATATTTGGTAACACAGTCGTAAAAGATAAGTACGCAATTGGCAGTGAAGTCGGAATGTGTGAACTAAATTTTAAATTTATGAAAAAAAAAAAAAGTGATGGCAATTTTACAGAACAAAACTTGTACCTACTGTTGTCATATGTCAACATAATGGGAAAAAAAAAAAAAAATTATACACAATTTTCGGGTAGTGCCCACTGGCCGGGCACACCCGGTACGCTCTGTATGCACGCCTATGATGTATATATATATACAGGGCGTTCTTAGGAGTTTCTGAGCAAATTCGAAAAACCCGGAAAAAAACATGAGAAAACCGGGAAATTTAGTACATTAAACAAATATATCAGGGGCGGCCACTAACCTTAACTATGGGTGCCGCAAATTTATGAAGCTAATTTGAGGCGAGCCACATTGTAATGCGATGTTTATGAAATGGAGACGCGATGAAAATTATAAAAACGCGATAACGGAAATCATGTTGTTATCGTCGTCGTCTGACGCGGTCGTAACACACCGTGACTATTTTTGGCTACACATACTAAAAGCACCGCAGCCGTGCCAATCTGTACCTAATAACGACTGTAATGACAATGAAATCGACAGCAATAAAAATTCTATCTAACGTTTCTAACGAATTTTATATTTATTAAGTTTAGTCTAAATTTAGTTCAAGAGCCGCATGCGCCTCGCGAGCCTCGTTGTGGCCACCCCTGTAATATATAATGCATATTTAATTTTTTTTTTCATATGACCTATATATTGTTGACAAAGCATCACTATCAACTGAATTCCGCTCAGAATCGTTTTTTTGTGAGTTATGGTTAATCATTGCTAACGGATATACATGAAATTACTTATAACAGTGGCTGCACCCGTCCCCCATTATCCTAGGATGTCTTTATGATATTTTCATTTGCTTAGAAATTATTAATGGTTAAAATTAAATGAAATGAAGTTCTTAATAAAACTCTTTCTCGTACTCGTAACTTACCATTTTTTATAAATGTACAATAGGTCCCTTTGCTTTAAACTAACTATAGTTGAAAATGTAGAAGTGCTATTTGTCTTTGTCGATATATTACCTACGCGTGATACAGGCAGAAAAACAAATTTAACGATGTATAGAGAACCCTTAATCAATTAGATCATTTTTCAATAACGTAACACTCAGTTGATGTTTATACAGTGCTTCAACACCTCATGAAAAATGAATTCACTGTACGGAAAAATTTACAATAAAAATAATAAACATGCATACACACACAGACACAAAATAAAAAAAACCATAGTTTTTATTATTATATTCTTAATTTTGATTTAAATGGTTTAAATACCTATTCATGCAAATGAATTACACAATTACAATATAAAATATTTCAAATTTTTATTATAACATAAATTCAAAGGAAATAAAATATTGAAAAAAAAAAAAACAATAAAAAATAATTATTACTTAAGTCTGCTTATCATTAATCATTTATTCATAATTTAATAAAAACATGATTCTCTTAAAACAATATAAAATACAAGTATATGCAGGTATAAGAAAAAACTTAATACTTAAATATATAATTACTAACATCACATTAATAATATATTATTATTTTCCAAGAGTTTTAACTTTCAAGAGATCTATGCTTTTCTTACACTTTAGTAAATTTATTGTTTATTAACCTGTTTAATAGAATTAAATTAAATATGGTTTGTTTAAATTTACATGATATTAATTTAAATTTTGAGTGTATATTCAAACATTATTAGGTTTATAAAATGTCACAACACAATGAATTGTCAATTTTTTAAACATATTATGAATACACATAACAAAAATACATCAAAATACACATTACAACCAGAACTAAACAATAATTATACAACTTTAGTTTGATTAAAATTTCAATGATATAAGGTAAACAACTTTAATATTAATTTAATTTAAATCCGTTTACATATAAAACAATTTTAATTCAATAAAATAAAACTATAAATAATAATAAAAAAATAATACATTAATTAAATAATGTAGCACATTATATAGAGTGCCACTAATATACTTATCAAAATTAATTACATTTACCCATTAAAAATGTATCATCAATGAAACTTAACAGAACACATTGATAGACAATTATTCACGTCGAATAATAAGATTTGTGTCACTGATGATTAGGCATCATACCATGTTGAGGTCCCATAGCTGACATTGGGACACCACCATAATTATTACAACCCGGTCCGACCATATTAGGATTTTGTCCAACCATATTTGGATTTTGTCCAACCATATTTGGATTCTGTCCAACCATATTAGGATTCTGTCCAACCATATTAGGATTCTGTCCAACCATATTAGGATTTGGACCGACCATGTTAGGATTGGGACCAACCATGTTAGGATTTGGACCGACCATATTGGGATTTTGTCCAACCATACCTGGATTTTGATTCATCATGTGTTGACCCATTAATGGTGATGGAACTGGACCACCGGGTGTCATTTGGGGATGCATATTCATGGACGCTGGCGACATTTGTGGCTGCGGTTCAGAGGGTAGTACAAAGTTTGTCATTAAATCTCTAATAGCTGGAAATATGGAACACTCATTGTGGTTAAGGGAAAATTCAGCAAATCTCTTCATATGAAGACTAGCTGCTGATATTGCTGATGCGGGACCAGCATCTCTTTTCTCAGCCAATTGTGTGAGATTAGTAACAGTATCATAAACTAAAGGTAAAACTAACGAAGGCACTTCATTACTGTTGTATGTCATTCCAATTCTGGTGATTTGTAAAAAGAATAGAATTTTATTTCTACAAATCAAAAGGGCTTCTTTACCAACGGGTACAATTGGAGTTGCTGACGGCGGTATTCTCAAACACCATTGAACAGTCCATTTCATTTGTTGTTGTTGAATAAGTCCAGGAATCATTTCTAATTTTATTATTTGTATAAAGTCCTTAAGCACTGTATACGGACAGTTTAACATCCTAGTAAAACCAAGTAATGTATTTGGCTTGCATGGTGGTATTGCAACTTTAGTTTCAAAAAACTTTTCTAAAATATTTAATTCTTCGACATTCCATGGGTCTTTTTGCTCGGGGATACAAGATATTTTTAAATGTAATGACTGAAAATGTTGCATATTTATAAAAGCTCTGCATTGCAGTGTTTCTACTTTGAAATTTACAACACCTGGCTCAGAGGAACTCAAAGCAATCAAATTTTCTTCAGTTTGAACAAATCTTTGTAAATTTCGCCTCATATAAACACATCCTAAAAACCTTTCCAGAGGACATTGCTTGGGTGCAGGAAGCCCCTGAGGGTGAGTGGTCGGTGTACATAAAGCGTTCAATGCTTCATGTGTAATAATAGTAGGCACTGCTCCAGCCCAAGATTTTTGAGGAAGTACTCTAGAAGTGTGGCCATATACAGTCTTTTGATCAGGACTTTGCAATGAATGTCCGGCCGGTGATTGTCCCTGAGCCCTTGCTGGAGACAGACGAGGTAAGCCCGGAGACCCAGGCCAATTAGACGCAGCAGGAGATGTCATACTTTGAGATTGGAAAGGACTTACTTCAGGTGGGTGAGTACTAGAACCCAATCCAAATCCAGAACCAGGACCCGGCGATGAGTTTGGTAACATTCCAACTGGACTAGGAACATGTAAAGGATTAGAAGGTGAACTAGCTAATAGACTTGAACCTGGTGAAGGATGTGGTAACATTGAAGGTGACGGATTGATAGCTGATGGCAGTGATGGTGGAGATGCCAAGTTAAAAGAAGTAACTGGACTGTTGTTAAATTGCTGGTTAGGATTTTGCCCCATACTAGGTACACCAACTGCAGGATGTGGACTTGCTGGTGTATGTGGATTACTTCCTGGTGTTGTATTACCGGCAGAATGAAATCGTAAACCTTGTGCAGGTGACTGAGGTCCTCTATGTGATGAGTTCAAAAAATTACCTTCTACATTATCCATGGTAATCGGTGAAGGAGGGTTATCGTCTTCAGATTGAGATCGCCGTCTAAACACATTTGTCTCATCTACATATTTAGACAAAAATGCTTTTAATCCAGGTGTTGGTGTATATTCTGAAATTACAGAAGTTCTGTCGTATCTACTGTAAGCTCCATCTCTAATGCTTACCAAATTACCCCACCGCAATGTAATTTCTAAGCAATATTGCCCTTCGTAAATAACTTTAAGTAAATTTGTCGAATTAGCAACTACTCCAAATGTGATCACTGGTACTTGTGGTCTGACTTGCAGTACACAAAGTTGTGGTATCGATGGTAGCTTACAAATAGCACCAAGAGGATTTAGTGTATCGAGCATTTCGTGTATTAACAATGATAATTTTTTATTGCTGTTTAAATAACCTTCAAATTGTTCTTTAATAAGGTTATGAGGGTTAATACTACTGTTGAGTGAACCAAATACTATATTAAATTTATTATTTGTAGAATTCCATTGAATAGTGGCAGTTGAACGTCTATGTGTACCATACCCTATAATAAGTTTTAAATAATTATAGCTCTTTATACTGATCATTGATGCCAAGTTATTTTTTTCAGATTGTAAATAAGGGGACAAATCTTCCACCAAAAAATACAGATGTACCACTTGGGCCCAATCATTTAAGATTGTTTCAACTGTTTTTGACATGTTTTCCGCAACACTGACATCGTAGTTAATGTAAACCGGTCGTCGAGCTCCTTGTTCTCTACTATGTCTACTAGGCAAAGGACTTCCATAGAATACGTATTCAGCTGTCCAACATCGAGTCGTGCCTTTACCGTATACTCGTATAGATATGGACAGAACTCGTTTACATAATGATATCCATTTGGAATTGGTCACTTCAATACCTGATGGAGGAGGCAATGACAAAATTTTTAAAACAAAAGTTGTAGCATTTGCTTCAACTTGAACACCTTGGTTACTGATTCCACATTTAGTCAATTCTTGGGCAAGTACAGTGAACGGTAATCGTTCATCACACAAAGCTACAATGTGTGCGAGTTCAGGTATAAAGTAAGCTGGATGTTTAAGTAATTTTCTCGGTTTGTCCGGTCGTACAATAACTCTCTTTCGGCTGTTTAAATCTATTTTTTCTTGATCTTCCTCAAACACAGACGTAAATGGACCATGTGTCGCCACAAATTTTTCAATTGTTAATAAAGTCAAAACCTTTAAATACATTTTTGGTATATCTACCTCAATAGATTCGTCATTAGGATTATCTTCAATTGAAGACTTTTTTACATTTGCCAAATAAAATCTATACTCGATTCTGCAAGGGGACTTTTCATTTTCAGCAAACTCTACAATCAATATCATATTTGAAATTTTATGTAGTTTAATATACATCCGATGACGACTTATTTTCGACATAGGATGATCCTGGTGATGTAATAAAGGCAATCGTTCATATGCTGTTCCAGGAAGATGTTGTAAAGTCGTCTCACACCTACGCTGAGTAATCCAAAATCTTAAATCACTTATAAGCAATGGTACTTTATTATGTTCATTATTTAGCGCTTGTTGTAGTGCGGCCATACTAGGCGGATTAAATTCGGGTACATGACATTGAAGCATACCGGTATGTGTGTCAACTGTTATCAATAATTGTTCTGCTCGTAAACAAGGGTTAAGTATTGCTACTGATAAAATAGCAGGAGACCCTTGCAGAGTGCATTCTACGTCCTTTAATAAATTTTCCAATTCCACTTTGAGTTCAGAGAGACGAATTTTTGTGCGCACATGAATTGTATGTACCAATAGTCTTTCCATTGACAATGAATCCGTACCAATTGACTTTTCTGTTATCTCTGCATCTTTTGTACCAAGAGAAGGTGAGTGCAAAATACCTAGTGGTTTATTAGGCTCTTTATCGTCTACATATATTGTCAACGAATATCCAAATTGTTCAGATACACTACGTGATAGTTCTCTCCAATATGAAACAACCAAACATTTTCCAGCAGTATATTCTGTTATATGTATATGTCCTTCAAGCCTATCCTTATACAAAGACCTGGTTTGAGAAAACAATACTTCCAACTGCAAAGATTGACAAAAATAATGCAGTACCATATAAACTTGAGTCAATGGTTCTCCTCCTGTACTACAACATTCTAATAATCTTGCTTGGACAACCTGATGAATGTACTGTACTTGACGTGTGTGCACTAATGGTTTTCCTTCTCCAGTTTCTTTGTCTTCGACTAATATTTCAATATCTAAGAGTCGCCAAGGTATATTTGGATTGTCACCCATCAATGTCAAGGACACTTGGAATTCATTTTCCACTCGAAATGTTACTCGACCACTGGCCACCTTTTTGCAACTCATCTCACTAATTAAATTACTACAAACCAATCGGTGTTGAATAACTCTATTCAGCTGGAGCAATGTTTCACGTTTTTCAGCTGGAGTGATTTTATCTGGAGGAACAATACGCTCACGAATACAAGCAGGTAATCGTGAAAAAGTACCCGTGGTAAGTACTTCAACTGCTGATGGTATATGAAAATTAGGCAATCTTGCAGATACAACAGTTTCACGAGAAACTCTAGCCAACATATCTGCAGTGTCTATGAATAGCATTGACTGCTTATCAAGGAATCCCATTATTTGAGTAGATTTATCTACTTTGGAAGCACTATTAGCCCATTTCACAAGGGCTAATAATCGCACAAATAGCTGTCGTGTTCGGTTAGCAAATTTAAAAATTTCAATTTTTCGCTCCATGTCAGGCTTGCGGGGCAACAATTCAGCAAGAACAGTGAGCTCATGATAAGTACGTTGTACAATGAAGTCAATCAATACGGATAAAGAAACAGATCCGTCTGGAGGTAATCCATTACTCATGTTGGGTTGATTACCTTCTAAAGGTGTTGGAGGCATGATCAAATTCAAGTGGAACTTTCAACTAATTATCTAAAAAAAAAAAAATGTTACACTAATTAATTATTGCTAAATCTTTAAATTTGTATAATATTGAAATATCAAACAATCTATAATTAAATAATAAATTTATACCAGGAACTAACATCTCATAAATCTTAATTACCTAAACACAGGCAATAAGCAATTTTATAATTATACACATGATTACCAAAATATACACTAATCCAGCTAACTAGATGGTATTTTAAAACATAAGATTAAAATTTCCCAAGTTTTATACATGATATTAGAATTTAGGGCTACTATATGTCCAGTTTTAAATGGAATTATCTCATTTTTGATCATCAAGTCCTGTTGTCACGACAGAACTCGAACGAGACACTAAAACCGATATATATATATATATATATATGAAACAAACACAATATCTATACCTATAATAGAAAAAAAAGACGAACAATGAACATCAATCAAATAAGTGAAAGAATGTTGATAATTGTTTTCAAACTCGCAACAAAAAACAAAAACAAAATTATTCGAAGTATGAGTCTCTACAAATATTTTAAGCTAAATCACAACAAAAAACACAATTCGATAATCTCTTCTAAGAAGATTTCTAGTAGAAAAGTTGTTTACAGATAAAATACAAAAATCATTGTAAAACCAATACATTCATCACTTCGCTCAGAATCTAAAATGTGTAAATTGAATGTTTAGAAAAATGTTTTTAAATTAGTAAAATCGTTGTGCAGTTAATTATTTTTAAACAAGTTTGAAAGTTTTATGAATTATATTATTTTTTGCAAGTCTAAATATTTATTTTGGGTAGTAAAAATGTTTTTAAAAAACTACTTAATGTTTAATTAAAAAAACTATTTTATTTTATTTTTAGTTATGAAGTAATGAAATATAATAAATATAGCACAGAGCTCTAGTAATTATTACAAAAATAAAAACTATAAAATATTCAATAGAAAAAAAAGAATTACATTTGTTATTAAGTCCTGTATAACATTTCAATTTTCATATTAAAAAAAAAATATTTAAAATTAAAAAAGGATACTTTAAAACATTTAATAAATATTATTATTTTATTTAAATACCTGTTAAAATAATATTTATATTATTTACATTTTTATGAATGTGGCATCATTCCAAAGCAAAATTTGATTATTTATCAACCGAATGATTGACAATTACACTGCACCTGAAAATAATTTAATATTCTTAAATTGTCTTTTTATTATCTATTTCTTTTTTTTTAAATTATACATTGACAAATTACCCTTTTGTATAGCGTACTCAAATATTTTTATAATTCATAAAGACTCAAAAACTATAGAAAATTTATGTTTAAAAGAGTTGAATTTAGAATAAATTTTATATAAATTTTAAATTTTCATAACTTTGTTATAAAATTATTATTTTATTTAATTTTGCAATTGCTGTCCAACAAGATTGGAAATATTTAATACACTTACAAGTATATAGATAAATCGTATATAGATAACTTTAACAATATCACAAGTTAAATTAAAAAATGTTCAAAAACATAATTAGATAGATAACCACGAATCATAATAAATATTAGTAATAGTTTATCACAAAACAAAGACTACTACCTAAATTAACCTACGATAAAAAAGAAATGTTTATTTTATGCAAGTACCTATCACGAAGAAATTTAAACTAAGAGGTTTATGGGTCAAATATCTACGATTTGGGCATCTTCCTAATCCACCTATGTAGGTCATGTGTATTTCGTAGTTTATACATCATACTTATTAGAATTGTAGTAACTTGTGACAATAAGGAAATTCGACAGAACTTAAAATACCAATTGAATGTTTAACTATCTATGGAAAATATAGATAAAATAGTTGCATATTATTATGAATATAAATTATAATAATCACTTGTCTATTCAATTTTCACTGTCAATGTACGATGTTGTAAAAAAATTATAATATTTATATATGTAGACATATTTGACACATTTTAAAATAGGCAAGTACAAATGCAATATGAATACTAAGCATCCAAATTCATTTTTATGAAAATAATAATTAATCGATTTCTACAATAGTTATTATTGGTTACCTACATAAAATGTTTAAATGCACATTACATAAGCCAGGTAGGTATTCAAATACTATATTATGACAGCGTAGATTATAACAACATTGTAGACAACGTAGCTCCTGAACAAACAATTATTTTACCATACAAGTTGAACATATTAGTTACCTATAGAAAATACGAATACATTTCTGTAATAAAATTATTGAAACAAAAATATTGCACAATATTATACATCACAGAGAACTTCCTTGGAAGGGTTATTTTAGTGTTTATGGTAAAACAATCAAGATTGTGTCGCAATTTAAAAACATAAATATCAAGCATACTGCCACAATAACGTTAGTATCAAATTTCTTTTGGGAAATATGAGAGAAATTATTAACACCATTGGTTGGGTAGGTATCAAACCCAATTTAAGTATTATATGTTCACTTGGAATTTAATATTTATTTATCTCGATCTGGATTTATATTTAGTATTAAAAACATAATATCATTATATTAGGTGTGATGTGTTCAATAACAAGAAAATAAATGACTTACTGAAATCGTATAAGTAGCGCGATTAAGTGTCAGATGCAAAACTACCACAGATCAAAAGTACAATCAGAAGATACGCAAGTAAAACTGGAATCAATAATAAGTTGTGTTAAAAGATCATAGAGTATGTAGTATAATAAATAGCAAATACTGTAAACGATTGTAATTTTATGGAACTTAGATAATGTTCAATCACGGTCTAGGTATCAAGTAAACAGTAAACAAAAATGGAACCCCCAACATTGGTAATTGGTAACCAATGAAGCAACCGTACGCATAGATAATAAACAGATAATAGACAACCTGTGGCAAAAATAATTGATAATCAGGGCAGCGTGATCAGACGTTCAATAACTATTGTAATGTACAATAATTATTGTACATGTTCGACATGATAGGAAAAACATTACCGTACGTGCAAATAGGTACGATGATTTTGTAATTATTTTTTCAAATTTTGCATTTTATTTGTTATAAACAATTAGATAATATATACGACCTTTATTATTCGTGAACAACTTTTCTACCAGGCAAAAAAAAGCCCCTCGGGGAAAAAATACAGGTATTGCCATCTTAAAAAAATGTTTTTATAATTATTGAAAAGAATGCTTGGAAAAAAGCCCCAATGTAAATTAATATAAGACATTTAAAAAAAAAAAAATATATTGCAAAAATAATGAAGTAGTTATTAAAAAACATGTTTTACGTATATTATTGCTTATTGCCAACTTTTGTTGGAAATCTAGTTTTCTATAAATACGTATATTATTTTTCTAATTTGTTGCTTGAAAAACCCTGCATAGAATCGTGTAAAACAATATACTGCGGGTATAGGTACCACACATGTGTTATAGTGTATATTTTGGACACGGGGGTTTTTAAATAATAATTTTACTACATCATTTGTAGCGAATTTATCCATATCGGTTACCGTAAGAATATCTGATTGCCGTTTTTGTGGTAGGTAAATATTAAATAAATATTCGTTTGTTTCGCCGGGGCTTTTTTTTCCTTGTGCGATTTTCGGCCGGGGGCTTTTTTTCCTAATACCATTATTGGCCATTATATGTGGCCAATGATTTGACGCGTGTGAGTGTATTACGATTGAGTATTGATGAAAACGGCTAGCGCAAACGCCGAAAACGATATCGCGGACTTGCAGCGCCGCCTTACTCCATAGTCGTCGTTCCATTAAAGCTTATGAATTATTGTTATGATATAGCAATCACGGTTCTGCGGTGTCATTGCCCGAAAACAGAATAAGTGAATAGCACGGACCGCGGTTGCAGACAACAGACAATAAATGGGGAAAAAATGGATAAACCGGGAGAATATTAAATAAATATTATTAAAGAAAATATAAAATACCTATTTAATTATCTTACCATAATATGGCATAATTATTTTTTGAAAAAAGCAACACTATTAACCGAACTCCGCTCAGAATAGTTTTTCGTTACTAATGGTTAATTGCTGTGCACGGGTGTACATTAAATTCCCCCTCCGCCTTCTCGGGCGCACACTGGTCGCCCTCTCGGGGTCCAAAAGTTCGATAATTTTAATACGAATTGCTTCCTAATTGGGCGTAAAACGATTTACGGAATTTACAGAAAAATGTACTACATTTATTGGGTCTTGGACCCGAAATCTTCCTCTTTTGGGCACGCTCTTGACATATAATATTAGATCTCTAATGCCGAAAGATAAGTAAAGATTAAGTGATCCATCTTCATAAGGTCACCCACAAACAATTATTAAATTCGGGGCTTTTTTTATGCCGGACGTTTTTCCGTCGGACTTTAGTACGGAGATTCTTTAAATTTGTACCCGGTGGCCACTAATGAATAATATTATTATATCTACGGTTTATCAGTTCATTATTATTTTATCCTGTATTCAGATTCATTAAAAAAAAGCACGTGCTCAGTAATAGCTGATAAGATAAGAAGAAATGGGTAATAACTCATAATTTTACTTAGTTGGTAGTTAAATAAGGAAGTAATAAAAAGTTGTTTATTGTTTCGTTATATTTTTTTTTCGTTTTTGTACATATGTAGATAATCAATACAATGAACCATTGACGTACTGTGGATTACTCTGCACAGCAAAGTAATGGAATACACGTAACTCTGAATAGTGATTATTTATGTGTTGTTAAAAAGGTATAGGAATTAATATTTCAATTTGTATTTATTTAGTTTTGTATATTGTATACCAAATATATAAAATATATATATAAGAGTATATTAAAATGCACAGAAGGTTGAGTACACTATAATTTTTGAAACTTGTATGTCCTTTATCATCCATTGATTTTTATATTATTATATTACTTTACAGTGTGAAGTATGTTCAAAACTCATCAACAAAACGCATTACTAAACTATTGATAGCTAATCGCGGAGAGATTGCGTGTCGAATCATAAGAACTGCACGTCGTTTGCAAATTGAAACAGTTGCTGTTTACAGTGATGCAGATAAAGATGCAATGCATGTGGCCATGGTAAATTAATGATTTTCTTTATTTGATTTTCTAATATAAAAAAAAAACATATAGGCTGACCAAGCCATACACGTTGGACCGGCTCCGAGTGCACATAGTTACTTGCTTAAAGACCGTATTGTTAACGCTGCTATCAAAACGAATAGTCAAGCTATACATCCCGGCTATGGTTTTTTATCAGAAAATGCATCATTTGCTCAATATTGCAATCATAATAATTTAATATTTATTGGTCCTCCGCCTAATGCCATTGAAAGTATGGGAATTAAAAGGTATATGTTTTGTTTTAGTTTTTATATTAAACAGTAAATATTACTCAAATAATTCTAGTAAATCAAAAGAAATAATGTCGAAAGCTGGTGTGCCAGTAATTGTTGGATACCACGGCATTGAACAAAATTCAGATTTTCTTCAACAACAAGCTAATAACATTGGTTATCCTGTTATGATTAAAGCCATTAAAGGTGGAGGGGGCAAAGTAAAATCAAATTTCTAAGTAATTATATATTAGTATAACATATTATATGTATACTTTTTTTTTCTTTTTTTTATAATAGGGAATGAAAATTGTAAACAAAGAATCTGAATTCTTTGAAAATCTTTTGTCAGCCAAGAGAGAGTCATTAAATTCATTTGGTGATGATTCAGTTCTAATCGAAAAATATATACAACAACCTAGACATGTAGAAGTACAGGTGTTTGCTGATCAACACAAAAACTGTGTTTATTTATTTGAACGAGATTGTAGTATACAAAGACGTCATCAAAAAGTCTTAGAAGAAGCACCTGCTGTAAGATTCATCTAGTGAATTTGTTATTTATTGGTTCATAACTAATATAATAATAATATTTTAATGTATGTCTTATAAATGTATTGATATAATTTATTTTAGCCCAATTTAAGTGACACCTTAAGACAACATCTTGGAGAAACTGCTGTTCGTGCAGCAAAAGCTGTTGGATATGAAGGTGCTGGCACTGTGGAATTTATTTTTGACAATGCAACCAATATGTTTTATTTTATGGAAATGAACACTAGATTACAAGTGGAACATCCAATTACTGAAATGATCACCGGGATAGATTTAGTAGAGTGGCAAATTAAAGTACATTGAATACATTTGAGCATTATTTTTAAAAAAATAATAATAATAATTTTCATAAACATTGCAGATTGCTGAAGGTGAAGAATTACCGTTAAAGCAGAATGAAATTAAATACAGAGGACATTCAGTTGAAGCACGTATTTATGCTGAAGAGCCTTATAATAATTTTTTACCTGCTGCTGGAAATCTACAATATTTGGACTATCCACAAGTATCAGACAAAGTGCGTGTAGAAACTGGAGTACAGCAGGGAGATGAAGTATCTGTGCATTATGATCCCATGATTGCTAAATTAGTAGTTTGGAGTGAAACTCGGTCAGATGCTTTTGCTAAACTTAAAAACAATTTGGCTGCGTTTAATGTAAGTAATTAAAGAAATTGTATAATAATTAATTAATAACGATTACTTAAGATTGCAGGTTTGTCAACCAATGTTCAATTTTTAATATCATTGTGTGGTCACCCTGAACTTTTGAAAGGTAATGTCCACACTGGATTTATTCAAGACCATATAAATGATCTTTTGGAAAAAAATCCACCCAACCCCGAACTGATTTCACAGGTTATAATATATAATTTAACCTATAACTATGAACAGATTATGGTATTTTATGTTTTAGGCGATTATTGCTATTATATTGTACCAAGAAATTAATACTATCAGTAAAAATATTACTACTGATGATCCATACTCACCTTTTGCTACTCAAACTGGTTTTCGAGTAAATCACAATTTCATACAAAAAATAAAACTCAAACACAATCTTTGCGGGAGTATGTAAAACCATGATTGGAATTATTTAACTCGCTTTGTTAATATAATGGCTTATTTCAGAATTATATGATGTCAGTATTGAGTATTGTGAAGTGGGATCAAATTCCAGTAAATACAAAATTTGTTTTAAGCATAATGATACAAATATTGAGATAAATGCTAGTGGTAGCTTAGATACAACAGTACCTAATAAATTTCAATTAATATGTACAGTAGATGGTACATTGTATAAATCCAATATAGCAGTTTTACAAAACTCAATACATCTTTTTAATAAGGTATTATAGTAAGATACCTTAAATACAAGTATGTAGTGTTGAAGTGCATACTTTTAGATTCTGAGTGGAGCGAGGAATGTATTGGTTTTACAATGGTATTCATTTTTTTTTTTTTCTTCTGTAAACTTCTTTTCTATCAGAAATTTTACTCAGATTTTCAAGTGTAACACTTTTTATGAAAAGAAATTTGACTAGGGTAGTACTTTAGGGAGATCATTTTTTGATTTTCTCAGAAATTTTCATTATAAATGGAAAAAACCAACTAAATGTTCAAAATATATTAAATGTAAATGTTACGGCCTTTCAAAACATATATAATCAAACTCTGCTCAGAATTGTTTTTTTCTTTAGCAATGATTAATATTTGTGTACAGATATAGATTAAATTTCCCCCTTTACCTTCCCAACTTCTCACTTATAACAGTGACCCATCCATTGTGCGAAGTATGTCAGTTTATTTTTTTTTTTTGTTACCAAATTCTAAGTTATACTTAATCAAGCACAAAATATGTTTAAAAACAAAATCATTTTAAATTCAATACTTGAAAATAAAATAATAAAATAAATTAAAAATATACGAAATAGTTTTGAAATTATTTTAGTACATATATTATATTTTAAATTAGTACTACCTATAATATAATCATTTTATGCACATTGAATTTCTTGAAAATCATAAAAATAGAGAAAAATATTTTCATTTAAAAATAAACTTTTCTTTTATTAAATACTCAGGGATTTTATTATTTAAACAACCCAAGGGGTCTTTATAAATATGTTAAACAGTGTATATATGTCCCACAAAGATATACCCATTGAAATAAATCAAAAATATTAATTTTTTTTTCATCCTTATGTTTGGGGTTGAAATGGCTATCTATTTTTAATTTTCAAATGGCAACTTATATTAAAAATGTATTAAATAGATGAAGTATTAGTTGAAATAATTTCAACGCCAAAAATTATTTTAAATAATATTCCATCTATTTTCAATATAAGTTGCCATTTGAAAATTAAAAGTAGATAGCCATGTGATACAAATTTTGAAAACAGATTTCAATTTGTCTTCAAGTCTACTTAGTATTAACTTACTCACTTTTTTAATTTTAATTTCTCCAAAAATTAAAATACTTCATTCTTTAATATTACTCTTTTATTATTAAGTCTTTTAGGAATTAGAGTGATAAAATTAAAAATGTGGGTAAATTAATTTCAATTAATTTCAATTTGACAACAAATTCATACTGTTTCAAAAAATCTTATCACTTCATTAGCGATACACAACATGCCAATTGGTATATTGGAAATAGAATGTGTCTAAATTCCTATATTGCATGTGTAGACAAAGACAAAATAATCAACATTTCCTACTTGAGGAGATGTCCATAATACCAATAAAATAATTCTACTATATGAGTATAATAGACTACATTTTACTTTAATTAGATTTTCTTAATATCTTTTTCTAGTTTTAAAATATAAACTATAATTTTAAATAGATATAGATATAAAAAATTGAAATTATAAGTGATGCAATTTAATGTATGTGATTTTTTTAAAGGATGGTCAAAATGAATTTACAGTAATTTTACCTTTTGATGAAAATACATTTGACAGTAACGAACAAGAAATAGAAAGCAATACAACTATTACATCGCCAACTCAAGCAACTTTGGAAAGAGTGAATGTTAATATTGGTGATAATGTTAGTACTGGTGACCCAATAGTTGTTTTAACAGCCATGAAAATGGAAGTAAGTAAACGTACTGTATATAATTGTGTTTAAATTTTAAATTATTTAAATTATTTCAGTATGTTGTTAAAGCCCAAGTTGATGGAAAAATTGAAAATATTTTACGTAAAGCAGGTGATAGTGTCAGAAAAGGAGAAATATTAGTAAAAATAATACCTAAAATATAATTGGAAGTACAAATGCTAATAGTTATGTGTATAAATTATTGTTTATTACTGTTATTTTAAAAAAAAAAAAAAATATTTTTCAATGTGTAATTTTTGAAAAAAAATTTACTTTGAACATACATTTTTGGGTATTACAATATTAGTAAATGTGTTCTGTACATTCCATATATCATATTTAATGTTCACCTAAGCCCATGACCGGCAAAAAAACCTTATAATATTATGAGGCTGTACTTACTGCTTGCAAAATACTGTTTAAACCATGGACTAAAATGAATGGTAAAACTTACAAACGAATTAACTAACAATATTATTAAATATAAATAATATGTGTAGTAACATTTATTATATTTGTATAATCTAAACATCGAAACAATATAAATACTTGTACCTATGTGCAATGACAACTTGTGTTATGGTGCACATGAGCATATTCTGAACTATTCCAAAAAATGTTTGCAACTGTTGGCGTTTACAAGTGTGTTTAATAACGATTAGATAATTTACAGAATATAAATACAATTTTTACTAAACTGTCAATATCGATTCTCAAATAAATGTTTTTTATCAATTTATTTTTATTTTACTGCGGCGAAGAATTTAAAAATTAAAATTAGTCATCTACTTTTTCTGGGTAACACATACAGTATATGGCTGTGAGTTGCGTCCCGAATACCTTTTTGACATAAATTGTATCTTCTATATTAATTTGATGTGCACGATTTTCGATTTAGAGGTTTTGCTATCCCTAGATGATTCAGAAAAAAATAAGCCATCATATTATGACGATATGTCTTACATGATATGTCCATGAAAGAATTAATGAAATATAAAAAACAAAATCTCACATGTGTCACCTGTACTAAATAGTTCCTGAAATACCTCCTATGCGATGAAGAATGTCCAACGTGACATCAATTGTCGTCAGAAAACTTCCTATTTAACGTAGAAAAACCTTCAATGGGATTTTGCCGAAAAAAACTTAACTCGCAAAACAAATAATCGGTTGTTCGAATATACGCGCACCAAAATTATCTCTACACGACCGTTATTCAATTTCCATAAACACAAACTGTGTAACACCAACGTTGAACGTAATTTTTTAAAATTTGAAACCGTGCCGCTCTCGGCGTTCCATTACGTTCGCTTTTCGCGACGTTCATTGTTCCGAACGATTACAAACACACGTGCGCTGCGACCGCTGGTTATACCACACCGGCGTTTAGATTATTGCCGCGGTCGGAGATACGGGCACGCGGTAAAATCTTGAATCGTGATCGTTGTCTACTTGTCCGAAAACGGTTTTTTTACGATTATCGAAATAACCGGTACACATCCGAGGATGATCCGATCGCACACCGGCCGCGTATCGCGATCCGCGCGTGCACGTTCCAACAACACGCCGGCCGCGAGTCGGGCGTTACTGACCACCGCGGCGGCCGTGTCCACGGCGCACAGGCGGCTACGGCGAAACCGTTTGCCTCGCCGTTTCACGCACAGACGGCGAATACGGACATACCGGGTACCTCGAGGGGCACGTGTTACGGCGAACCCGGTGTAGAGCCGTCTGTGGACGCGCCGTGTCGCGACTCGGGCCGTATTTACACCGCGCCCGCCGTTCTGCAAAACGCGGATATTTCGTGTCGCGTTCCGGATTTCCGAGTTTGAAAAAATAACGGCGCTGACTTTTCTGCGTTATCACCGTGCCAGTGTATCCCCGTACAGATAACGTTAAATTATATCCGCGATTAATGATAAGCCGTGATTACGTTATTATCTATGGTATGCTCTACGGCCCATGCATAATGTTCGCTGTTCGCCGTAGCCGTATCAGTTTTTTACGCACTCGGGACTGTACTGTTCGAATTCTCGATTCTCCTGCGCGTTCCGAGCTCGGTGATTTCCCGAAAGGAATATTTGTACAAGTCGTCTTATACTATACATTTGAACGGGTCACACACGCAATGGGAAAAGTAAGACGGTACAAAAAGAAACTAGCAAAAACTGCGGCGGGACCGTCGGGAACAGCCAAAAATGCCGAACACCAAGAAAAACTGGAAAAAACCTATTACCTGGACCTGGCCGAAGATATAATGAACCTGAAAGGTCGCGGCGACAAGATGAGTGTCAGCACCGTTGTGAAAAACCTCAAATACCAAAGTGGCGAGGAATCGTTTACGTTGAAAAAAGAGCACAAACGTAACTTGAGACACGCATTCCTGATTAAAAGTATGTTGTGTTTATTGTTGTTATTTTGGCATAAATCCGGTTCGGCTCCCAAGCGGCGATTATTTAGTTTTGCTAACAAATCTAGGGTTGTTTTCGATTAAAACCATCAAAGTGTGTAGTGAACGAATGACGGCGTGGGTCCCTAGGTGCATCCAAAACGCCTTTGTTTATTCTGTGATAACTATTCGATAATGTTTGAAGATAGGTGAACTAAAAAATGAATAATGAAGATTTTATTATAAAAAAAAAAAATGCAAAATCGGTTAAAAAAAAAAACTATAGGTATAATTAGAGTCCATATAAATTTTTCAAAAATTTAAAACTTAAAAAATAATAATTCCTCCAATTTTTTTTTTGCACAGTCATTTTTAAAACGTTGATTTATCTAGATTTGAAAAAAAAAACCTTTAAGAAATTGAATTGAAGCCAAACTAGATTTGTTCCATTATTTTTTTCACTATTAACTTACCTACCAATTTAATTTGTGTATTATTTTTCAATGTTGTTTTCCTTTTTTTCACTGTTAGAACTTGAAAAGAACCAGAAACGTTCAAATAAGAAGAAGGAGAAGAAAAAGTCTGATAAAGATGATGGCGGTGTTGCAGACACTACTTCATGTTTGGATGAGAGCAAACTAAAAGTAATGAGTAGGCCAGCTGGAAATACGAATAATGTTGTTACGCAACGTGTTCGCCCCAAAAAATATATAAAAGGATTCCAGAGAAAACAAAACGCTATATTGTATGTATTTATCACATTTGTACGTTTAATTATTTTACCAAAATTTACAACTAATTATGTGTAATTCATTTTCAGGGCTAAGAACTTGGTGTTATACTCTAAAAAAATTAAGTTACATTTAATAGATTTTTAAAAATGTTAGCAAAGTTTAAAACCTTCTTCGAACTGTATATTGCTATTATACCGTTGTATATCTAACAATTTTTAATAAAGTTTTTTTGATTATACATATTATGTTTAAACATAGTGAAATTTTTACCACCATAATAATATGCCTATTTAAAACACTATAATTGGATGCCTAAACGTCGAAAGAGTTTCTGGTTGTGGCCAAAATGAATAAACGACAGAATAGAATTATCAACAGACATTCATGTCCTTAATTTCTAATCTAGGCAACAAGTTTAATATTATATACTGATAACTGCAAATTGGTTTCAATCTTTTTGATCATATTTGAGTGTATCACACACTGGCATAACAAACGTATTGCAGAGGTACTGTTTAGGTAGACTACAATTTAATGTTTTTTATATAAAGTTTAGCAAATCAGAAGCGGTTTGAGATTTTCAAGAAAATATAATGCGTGATTCATTAAGAGGTACTTTTTTTAAATGGGATTTTATGACATATAACGAATGAGTCGTATCAAACTGTCGTGCTATATTTTTGTTAGATTGTGTTGTTTGACAATTCATCATGGAAAAACTTGGCCCGGCACAGCGTCAACAAATTATTCAACTTTATTATGAAAATCAGCGTTCTACGAGGACTGTTTTTAAAGAGAAACTTATGGTCCGCATGGTCGGCCTACTGAACACACAATTTGCTATACAATTGTAAAATTTGAAACCCAATTTTCATTATTGGATAACACACGACCAAATAGGCCGCTTCCAACACGTAGTGAAGAAAATATAGCGGTGATAGCTCTAAGTGTACTCGATGACCGTGATGAATCGATTCGGCGCCGTTCTTAACAGCTTGTCTTGGCGTATTTTACGTAAGGACTTTGGTTTAAAAGCATACGAAATTCAACTCGTCCAAGAATTGAAGCCGGCCGACCTTCCGAATCGTCACCGTTTTAGTGAATGGGTTCTTGAAAAGATTGAAGAAAATCCACTGTTTTCGACCAACATTTTGTTCAGCGATGAGGCTCATTTTTGGCTTAATGGTTACGACAATAAGCAAAATTACCGTATTTGGGTTGAAGAGCAACCCGAAGAGATTCGAGAGCTGCCATTACATCCAGACAAAACAACCGTTTGGTGTGGTTTATGGGCTGGTGGAATCATCGGTCCACGTTTCTTTAAAAATGAGTCCGGGCAGAACGTAACTGTGAATGGCGCTCGCTATCGCGACATGATAACAGACTATTTGTTGCCTGAAATTGAAGCCCGTGATCTCGATGACATTTGGTTTCAACAAGATGGTGCTACATGTCATACAGCTCGTGAAACCCTGGCTTTATTGCGAGAACAATTCGGTGAACAATTGATTTCACGATTCGGACCGATTAGTTGGCCGGCTAGATCATGCGATATCACAACTCTCGACTTTTTTCTTCGGGGCTACGTGAAGTCCAAAGTCTACATAACCAAGTCGACTACGATAGATGAATTGGAAGCCAACATCAAACACGCCATTGACCAAATACCAGTCGAGATGCTTATTATATTTAAAAAATAAATGTAAATAATAGTTTTTTTTTGTAATAATAAAGTTTACCCAATAAAATGTAATTTTTTTATTGTTTTTTAATTCTTGGAAAAAAGTACCGCTAAATGAATCACACTTTAGGTAAACCATGCATAATTTTTGAAGTTAAATTAGGTGGGTGGGCTAGTTCAATAATATTTGCATTCTGTAAAATTATTTTTTTGTATATAAATTCTAATAATAATAATGACAATTATTATTATTATACCAAGGAAAGAAGAAGAATAATGAAAATGATGTTAATATCCTTAGCAAAATCAACAGTAACAATAAAAAGAAAAAAAAACAATATTCGTTGTCAGTTTTATTTTTCAAAAACTGACGGGTACCAAGCAAAAATACTCAAATAACTTTAATTGAACAAATGATATTTACGATCCGGTGGAAACGTCTATAATCATTTAAGGTACCTAGGGAGTAACCTAACCGCGTTACGCGATAACATCGGTTTTCACGCGGATTAGTAGAATTTAAAACTGCTGTTACTTGTAAACTGTTCATCGGATATACATGTGTGATACACTAAAATTTTCCGAAAAATAATAAAACAAAAAGTTATTTTTTTTTAAAGTAGTTGTATAGTACATACTGTGTAAAAGGACAAAATACATGTAATGTTTCCTTTTTGGATTGCCTTTTTATAACAATTGGTTCTGTGTAAAGGAGAACATATCACGATTCAGACGTCTACAACACTCGGAAGGGAAATACCGACCAAGTTCAATAAAAAAACACGCGAAAACCGACAGCAAATTCACGCGTGTTAAGTACCCGTGTGCTGTATACGCGAGTGTACGTTTTTCAAAGTGTACACGCGAATTCCGATTTCACGCGGGTACTATTATTTATTACGGTATTCACGTTTTCAATGGAGACCTCTTAATTCCCAGCCGTTTACCATTGCGGTTCCAATGGTCGAATACGCGTCGTTCATTATTATGGCGTACCGGAAAAATTGTGAACCTCCCGAATTCGTGGGGTTCGTGGATTCTCGGGCATTCGTGTCCGAATAGGGTACTTGCAGACGGTCGGTATTCGCGGTAGGAATCGCCGGGAGAATAAAGAAAAACCATCGGCGATTTATGTTTAATACAATATTATTACACGGTACATTATTATGCGTCTATAATCATATTAATCGTACACAATTTCTATTTGATTAGTGTTATTAACAACATAAAATAATCCGATATTATTATATAAATTATAAATACATGGCATCATCATCCCTTCGTTAACGACATTATCAAAAATATAATATTATACGGTGTAACGTACAAAATGCAATGCGTACTTGCTGCGATACGTGTAGGCGCCCGCCATCCGCACAAGTCCTACGTCGTATGCGTACATATGCGTATTTTACGGGGGTGTTCTGTTTAACGGCCTTTGCTCGTTTTTTTCGTTTATTATTCGGGTTTTTTTTTTTCTTTTTTTCTTATTAAAAATAAATATTTAAAACTCGAACGACGAAAATAACGTTGGAAAACAATCGAATTTTCTCGCGCCTCGTGTTACATATTGGGTATTAGAATATGTTCGCCGACGGCCCTGTGTAATATTGTCGGGTTGATTTTGTTTCCCCCCCTCCGCCCGAAACAAAAATCTTCTTTAATGTTTAAAATGTGCTTCGAGCGATTGTCGACGGGTCCACGTAAACACTCGGACGGTGCGAATCTGGAACACAAACGTTCGAAATCCGTAAACGTCTGGACGGTATAGATTTGGCGTTCGACATTTACACCTTGTAAAGAACCTCGCGTTGAACGTTCGAGTGTTTCTCCGTCACGCGATTTTATATGCGTCCACATTTTTACGGATTTCAACATTTTGTACACCAGACTTGTAACCGTCCAAGTTTTTATGTTCCGGGTTTTTACGCGCCCCCTCGCCGGCGTATAAAGCGTAGGGGAGGGGGGGAGGGGGTCAGTACGCGGCACTTCGTTTGTTATGAAATCGAACGTCTCCGCGCGCGAGAAAATGAACGAGACGCGACGAAAAATACTGACTCCGGAGAACGTTAAACAGAACACGTGTACAGTCGCAGAATAATAATCAACAATAACGATATTATTGTTGTGCGGCGCGTGTTAACTGTTAAGGTATCCGATATTGACAAAAATTAAACGTAATATTATGGGATGCGAAAAAAAAAAAAAAAAATAAACAATAATATTATAATTATGCGTGTATATATATATATAGTGTAGGGCGCGTGTAAATCATTTTATTTTACACGCGTTGTCGAAGTATTTGTGCAGGCCGGAAGCGACGGCCGGCGGTGGTCGTCTCTCGCGACCGCTGCCCTCGGAATACTGCTGTTGGCGGCGGTGCTGGAGACCACGCGGTTCTCCGGCGGCGACGGCGCACGTACCGTTGCCGGAGCCCGGCTGACCGTACTTGCTCGGGCCTCGGAAATACTCTCTGCGCAGGTCCGCGGCCGTCTTGGCCCTCGCGGGTGGCGCGGCGGCCGCCTGCTGCACCGTCAGCGTGATGGACGAATCGTTGACGGATATCTCGTCGCAGCTGTAGCTCGAGTCGAAGTTGCTGCCCCGGCCGCCGGACGGCGGGCTCTCCGGTTTGCCGGAGGAATCGCCGCCGGCCGACACCGGTTTGCCCGGGGCGTCGGCGGCGGTTGCCGTCCTGTACGACAGTTCAGACGACGGCGAGTTTTTGACGCCGGACTTGCGACCGCCGCCGCCGTGCATGCGCGGAAGGGAATTGTATCCGGACGAACCGCTGGACGGGTACGCCTTCTTAGCGGCCGCCGGAGCCTTGTCCTGCACGTGACGGACGCCGGACCCGACCGACGATCCCGAAGCGGCCCGCGACTTTCTGGGCAACGTCGCGCTCCTCGTCAACCTCGCGGCCGGCCACTGTTTCACCCCGCCGTCCTCCTCTTCCTGCAAAAATACCAAATATCACATTACCAATATCTTATTTGGAAATATGGCTAATAAGCACGTCGAAATGACCCGTAAGCGTCCCGATCGTCCCGTGTACAAGGCGACCGATACAACATAATTTAAACACGGCGTTCTAAATGCCTTAAATCACATAATTTTTGAATTATGTCAAATACATCGTAATAACTTAGATACATGAAATAAGACTTTAATTTCAGTACATTATCATGAGTGAAAATATATGCATATACGACGCGTACACGCCATTTAGCTAAAATAAGTCAAGAGAATGTAATTGTTATTAACGTAAGACACAATTATAAAATTACAAAATTAATTTCCAGCCATTCCCTGAAACTAACGATTTATTAATTTCTACTCCCCTATCTCAAACTCCCCCCCCTTTTAAAGTTTCTGAACACTTCGCTGTGCGATTTCCTTGATACTTCTTGTCAGTGTCTCACGTTACTTCGCATGTACCCAGGGACAGGATCGCCCAGTGGTTTTAAAATAAGTGCGGAGACTTAAAATGTTTATCCATATACCCCATCTCATTACCTCACTACCTCATACTATAATAATCACATTTGATATTTTCATAAAAAAAAAATACTTAATATTTATGTATACAAATCCACTGATGTGTGATCAGCGTGTTCATACGCTACCCGTCACCCATCCCGCATGAAGCAACACTAAGTTTAATGTATGGGTGGCATCGGGGAAGGGTTGATGGAAAAGATTCTTAAAAATATGTATCTGTATAGTTATTCAATACTAGATACATGTATATTGATTAGAACGCGTTAAGACTTATTGTTAATCGGGACGGCATTGGTTTAAATAAAGGTTATTGCTACGGAACTCAGATGCAGCCATCTCCTTTGCATTATTATACAGAGTGATTATTTTATCGTCGTACGCTCATTATTTCACAAAGTATAGGTTTTAGAAAAAAAAAAAAATGTTTTAACAACTTAAGAAACAAGAATATCTAAAATATTATACGACCATTATTTTTTGTCGTCCTTATTTTTGAATTTTATTTTGATCATTTTACCATTATTCAAACGCCGTGCAGCCACACAAATGATACTTCACTACTTCCCCTCCACCCAAACTCAAAAGTATTTCTTGTGAACGGGTTGACGGAAATCAGAAATGTTAACACCAAAATGTGTTTAAATTAATACTTTATCTATGTATGTGACTTTGTAAATATATATATAGTTGTAAATATGTTGGTATATATATATATTTTTTTTTTTAAAAGTCTATACTTATAATTATTGTTGAACGACAAAAGAATCACTCTGTATAAATTCTAACGTCGCAACAAAACTATAAATGGGACGGCCGCCACCGCCGCTCTTTTTAGTGAAATTACAATTTCTCTATACTAAACCAAAGCGACGCGGAATATACATATATATATATATAACAATATGATGAATACATAATATAATAAAACTATTATTTTCAATTTAAACATAATATAATCCGGCCGCGATCATTACAAGACACTATATATGGCCTATATAGGTATACTTGGCCAGTAATCGTGTAAAGGTGCTGCACGAAAACGACATTTGAACAAAACGTGGACAATATTATAACTATCGAAACCCGTATTGAATCTAACGTGATCGAATGATGGGGAGTTTTTTTTGTCTTTCGTTTTTGGAATACAATATAGAATGTAATATGGACATCACGCCTGGCTGTTTATCATAATATTATAGCGGACCGAACCGCGTGTATATTCAGACTGCGCAGTGTACCTACCTGTAAACACGGTCTCTGTAGATTTTACCCGAATAAAAATCACAATAAATATACGCGAGAAGAGAAAACCAAAAAGCGTTTACGTCCAATAATATATAGCGCAAACACTTTCCCGAAATATTACCGGGGTTTTGTGATGTTGCATGCGCCGTATGAAAGTGACTAAAACGGGACTGCGTGTTTATGTATAATAGGTAATCGCGTACGGTCCTAATGTCGATAAGTCGTGACTCGTATTTGAAGTCGACCGAATCAACAATACAATTATGTGGCCGAATCGTCAAACTCCTCGCCGCCGGATAATTAATCATAATTGTATACTCGTTGTATAACTTATTATGTGTTAAGAGGACGACGCGGCATCACTCGTATTTCGATTGTAAAAAAAACTGTTTTGCCCGGGAAAATATTACTCCGGGCTATAGAGTTCATTAAGAAATCGAGTTTTCACGATAGAAAAAGGAGTATTTGCATTGTGCGTCGTTTGTTTCGTCTTTTCGATATTGCAAATATGTACAATAAAAGTTATTATCGTTTAAAACTCTTAACAGTTTTAATGGTTTTCAAATTCAAATTACTCATTTCGCAATAGTGATAACAAACAACTAAAACTAACACAGTTCAGGTTCTGTTTGTTTAATGGTAAAAATTTGGTTTCTCAAATAATTCCATAATAATAATAATAATCTAGTAATAATTATTACGGCCTTTCTTTTTCCGGTAAACGACTTTTCTACCCACAATTTTGTTCCGATTTACAATAATTGCATTTTATCTGAAAGAAAATCTGACTGGAGTGGTACTTTAATGAGATCATTTTTAGTTTTCCCATACATTTTACCAAAAAATGGGAAAAAACGGGAACATAGATATATAATATTTAACAAATATTATTAAAGAAAATATATAATGCATGTGTTATTATTTTACCATAATATGACATATATGTATATCGTTGACAAAGCAACACTATCAACCGAATTCCGCTCAGAATCGTTTGTTCGTTATAGCAACGGTTAATCGTTGCGTACATTTAATGCGTTAAACGTCCCATCTACTACTTTCCCAACTTCTCTTACAATAGTAACCCACCTACGTGTGAAGTATGTCCGTCATTTTATTTAGTTATACACAATTATTAAATAATGCTGACGAAAAAATAAGCACACTGCAGCCCAGATAAATTAAACAAGCGGAAAGTTGTTTTGCGCAAAAATCGTGTTTTAAAAAATTTCGTTCAAATCCATCACATATAGGCTTTAAATAAATGTGGGTACATCATGTTCCCTCAGAGGGGCACGACATCAGTAAATTCGAGTGTAAAAACTGTCTTGCTTGGGACACAAACTACCCGACCTTTAGATATTATCAAGAAGCGAAATTTTCATAAAAAATAGAACTTTCACAGTGCAACGTTGGTTATATTTTTTTGATACCACGTATTTAAAAAAATGTTATTAATGTTTTAAAATTTGAGAGTTTTATGTTTTTCTAACTCAAATAACTTGTTGTAGGGATAAAAAAAAACTAAAACTTGATGGTTGTAGTTTTTCATAAAGAAAATTTGGTTTCTCAGATATGAGTACTAATATTATTATTTATGTGGTTTTTCAATTTTATTTTATATATTTGGTGTAGCGAAGAAAATCTGAATACACTATTAAAATGTGCTTTTTTCCTCTTTTCGGAAAACACTTTTTGGTTTGTGACCTACCTGTGTTCTACTTTAAAACATACGGAATTTTCACCCAGTAATACTTTATTTGAATAATTTGTCCGAATTTTCGATAGGTTTTTATAAAAAAAACAAAAAAAAAAATGACACCAAATGCCGATATAAATGCCCTATTTTTTTAGTCAACCATGACAAACTTTTGTGAAGAAGGCTCCTACGTTGTTCGATTAAAGTATTATCTATGACAAAATTGAAAACAGACTTCCTAAATTCGGTCTCCTGAATTGCATTGGCCTCATAGGTAAAAAAAGTTCACCATGCCACTGACCCATACTATAATTTTATCAGTTTTCCATGCACTACTCAGAATCATTTTGAGATTACATTTATTATTGCTTTCAGTATATAAATTAAATTACCCTATATCGTATTCCCTTCCCAACGTTTCATCTACAACAGTGACCTTTCATGCATATGGATTTTTTTTCCATTAATATTCGGTAATTACATAAAGATAGTACGTACCTATGCGCGGAGGAAAATCGTTTAGAAATGTTAAGTCTTTTTTTTTCAGCGACTGCCTGTTTCCTAACAACGACGGTAATAGTATATTTAATGTCTACCGCGAACATTCGGTATAATAAAGTAATAAACTTGTAAATAAATAAAAAATAAAAAAAATACGACAAATCATTATTAAGCCATCGAGGGCATGAATATTATTAAAATATTTTACGTAACAACTCCGTCCGCGCGAGTAAGCACATAACTGGAATGTATTACTATATGCACCTAAATTATTATGTACTTTGAAAATCTGGCGAGAAATCTAGTCGTATGATTGGACAGCCTTATCAAAGGCTATTTCGGATGTATGACCGTCGGGAATTTACCGTCTACGATACAATAAAAATTAAAATGTCTTCTTAACACCGGTTGTTTTATGAGGGCACAGCAGTCTTTGAACTGTAATATAATAGTATTACCCTTGTAGTTGTTGAGGAAAAAATTCTGATTTCATTATTTATACCATATTAAGTTTATCATAAGTTGCTCTTATAGTGATAAAAAAAAAAAATAATAATAAAAATACACGAGGGTAATGTTGTGTAACTGTCCATTTGGAATTGTCCTCGAAAATAAAGACTGTCGGTTTTGTGACTATTATATATATTTATCTTGATATCTTTATTTTTACATCTACATTTTTTCCCGCTACTATTGAACATTTCTTGTGGCTCTCTGGGTCAAATGAGATTCAACTTGGGAATTCGAATTGTTTTGTAGACAGATTAAAGTGATAAAAGTTGGATTGGATTTCAATGTGAGTTTAATCATGTTTTTATGAGAAAAGGGTTTTTATTTTAGCGTTCTATAGTCGTACAGACCTCTTGAATAAAGTTAGAAGGATCCGATTTTGTATATTTATGGCGTTGGTGTCACGAATGTGTCTTTCGAATGTTTCAACCTTTTAACATTCACCCCTACTATTTTTATGATAAAATTTCATCTTTTTTTTTTATCAACAAATAACTTAATTTGGCTGTATAAATTATTCAAATAATTTTCATCAAAAATACCTTTTCTGTTTGAGTAGAGGTCGAATGTTGGGGTTGTGCGCTTTTGTTGAACCATTCGTCCGGAGGGAACTGGGTGGAACTATTGTTTCCGTTTGATTTTCGGGATTTGGAAGTCGATCTGCGGCTGCCAAACAGTCTCGAGAAAATACCCGGAGATTTTCCTGCGAACAAAAACAGTATATAATAATAAAAAATGACACGAACGGATGTGATTGTCAATTCAGGGCTGCAGGTTTTGAAAAACAAATTTTACTTACTCGACTCCGATTCGTCGGTTTTGTTTTTGTTTGATATGTGTCTCATTGAGCCACTTCTCTGAATGGTGGCCAGCCGCCGGGAAGCTGAACTTCCCCTGAGTGAGTTGCGTCTTTCCAGTTTTCCCGCGGAATCCCTTCTGGGTGACAACTTTTTGTCGTTCGGGTTTCCTGTAAAACCATGACTAGATTAATTTAGGTTAGGTAAAGTGGTACAGTAGATGGGCGTAAAAACTTTAACCAATATTTTGGAATCTGCAAATCGTTATTGTATCATTCCTAATACCTGCTTATTTGGAATGACATCTATTCTCCGGGAACGACAAATCCATAATAGACAAATCTCTGGACTAATATTTTTAGAAAAAATGTTCATTTCACAATTTTATCATTTCGAAGATTGTTAATTCTCAGTGCTTAAAGTGAGAGGAGGGATCTATTTTTTAAGTTGAAATTATCTGAAAAATTCTTCCAGAAATTTTGCTCTGAAGTATCAAGTGTAACAATTTTTCTGAAATGTAATTTTCATAGGGTGGTACTAAGGAGGTTATATTTTGATTTTCCTAGTTGTTTCATAGTTAATGGGAAAAACCGGGAAAACACATGGGGAAAACGAGAAATTAGGTACAATATTAAAAAAATATTATTAAAGATAATATATAATGCATATGCAATTATTTTATATGACATAAATATTGTTGACAAAGCAACACTTTTAACCTAAATCTGCTCACAATCGTTTTTCGTTAGCAATGGTTAATCGTTGCGTACAGGTATACATTAAATTTCCCCTCTACCTTCCCAACTTTTCACGTACAACAGTGGCCCACCCACGTTCGAAGTATGTCTGTCTTTTTAATAAATGTAGTCTCATTTTAACTACTGTCGTTTCGAAATTGTTGAAGGAGAAAATAAACATTAAAAAAAGCAGTTTGATTTTATATTCGCTTTTCGAGAAAAAGTCGTCGCACAGTCTGTACATACTAAGTCAGCGAGACGATTTATATTTATTTAAAACATAGATATACGCGCAATAAAATAATTATTATTATAACGTATACGTACGGCACACCGTGGCGGTTCAAAAATGTATACTCACGTGGGTTAGACTTAATCACAGATTAATGACGGTAAAACAAAACAAAAACAAAAGAAATATGGACAAAATAATAATGTGATACGATATGGTATTATACATTTACAACGGTAAACCGTCGTTGTGTGTCATATGTATCGTTATATGTGCGTACCAGTACATATTATATTTTAAACGAGTCCTATCTGTATTTTTGCCGTTCAGCAACAATCGAAAAAAAAGTTCGCATTACGTATGGTCAGAATAGGAGGGGCGAAATCGGCACGTTTTTCGATATGTTTTTTTTTGGTTCTGCTCTCCGTAAACTATGTCGTTGACACGTTTGCGGGTTCGTGTTCTTTGTTTTTATTTAAACCTTCGTCGACGAATCCATTATAATTGCTAATGCCGTCTCGCATTTGGGTTCGTTTCAGATCGGACGACAGCGATACAGTGCGTATACCGTTGTTGTTGTTTCGTCCGACCGATGCCAATTTAAGAATTTATTGTCATCGTATTTATCGGAGCAATAAAATTTAAAAAGTAAATATAATATTACATAATACAAAATCGTCTAATAATCTATATGGTAATAAAAAAAAGTATTTAGATGTCTGTGATGTGTGATCCACAGCCAAATCTATCACACGTACGGATCTGAAAATTGTCAGAAGCGGATGAATGAGTCCGTGATACGCATTTAGAAGCCGGATTTTCTCAATTTAACCCCAAAAGAGTGGCTCACATAGGATTCTTCGTATTATATGATAAAGAAATTGATTTTTTCTTTTGCATACATTTCTTATAATTTTTATTTTTAGGCAGCTTTTCAAGGTTGCATAACGATCATAGTTTAAGAAGATATTGGAACAAAGAAATCAGAGGGATATATTATTGGACATTTTTTTTTTTTTAAATTCAGATTTATTAAATTACAATATATTTATTTCATTTTGACGGTAGTTATCGGTGACAGTATAATATTATTTCTCGATACGGTGTACTTGTATTTTCAAAAAACAAAAAAGGACCTAGGTATTGAATTTATGAAAATTTCATATTAAATCCTACCAATCAAACATTTTGCATTTTTTATATGACATACAAAATTTGAGAATTTTCGCTAACCAAAAAAGTATTTTCCGAGATAAAACACAACTTTGTAAAACTACATACTTAATAGTTTCTTCACTACAATCAGTATCTAAAATTATTGAAAAAAAAAAATCGAAAATTGTGATCCAAAACAGTCCCTGTAGGCCTAGTTCTCCTCTTAATCTAGCCCTGCTTTTGAGTTATCTTGGTGATACGGATGAAATAAAAAGAGATGGGTAGACAAGATAGCACATTAAATTTAATTTATTTTAGGTATATATGTAGATTTCGGTATTTGAAATAATTTTTAAACAAACTTTACATTTAAACGATAAAAAAACAGGCGGGAAATTCTGTTACGCTGTCCAGTTTAAAAAGATAACGGAAATACTGCGAATATAATTGAAGGAGGTTTATTTTTGATGCAGAAAAACGGTTAAACTTACCGCCGGATATGATGTCTGCCAAGTTCGTTTGTATATTCTGGTGGGTCTGATCTCCATCCCGCAGCGTTTCTATATCGCCGTGCACTTTGACATACGCTTCTTCAGTGGACATCAAGAATCCTCTTTTGGTCGGGCTGTACCTGCAGCTTCCTCCCAACCGTAAACTGTGTGCCGGGCTGGCGGTCGCTGAACCTACTAAACGTTGCATCTCTGGCGTCACAACAAAGTAACCCTTAGAGGATTGGTATATCTACAAAAAATATTTATATTTTATGTTTATAAAAACTGGTTTTATGGCACATTTTCTTGTAGGATAATATTAATATTATTACTCGTAAAACGTATTATAATAAACGATATGAAGTGGATAAAATTTAACGTCGGTACAAGGTCAACAAATTCATATATATATATATATATTAGACTGAGTTTTCTTTTTGGTAGAATTTTTTTTTTAAGGATCGATTTTAAAATTTACTTTCGTCTCGTTTCCACCATAAGAAAAAAATATCGTTCTCTCTTTCTCTCTATTTCAAAAACGGACCAATTTTACTCCCTATTTTGGACAATCGGTGTTATCATACAGACAAAATGTACTCAATAATAGTTTATAATAGTCCTATTCTTATATTCATATACCCAGTTGTTCATTATTTGTTAAGTATCAAAGTCGACGACTAAAACTGGTCAATTAACTTCATCTTTGTGATATGCTATTTACCTCTTCTAATCCAACTGTAGGGTACCAACTTCTGGTCTATATTTAAAAATACATACTACTTACATGAATAAAATGCTGTCTAACTACTTATCTATATAATATATTAATATCATACAATATCTCCATTTAAATTTGCCTTCTGGTACAGTTGTATCGTTCCAGTTATACAGGTTCAATTTTGGTAATAATAATAAGCAAAATATTAATCGTAATAAAGTATACAAAACAAATTTAAAACAAATCAGCGAATTCTCTCATGTATTTTTAGGTAGACGTGACTTTCCACTGTAGACTCATTTTTAAAATTATTAAAAAAAATAATAATAATAATAATAGTAACAATGTGCTTATTCCAGAATGTGCGAATTAGTTGGATTGAATTAAGAAAAACAATTTTAAAAAAATTCTATATCCAGGATAAATTTTAAGAAAAAATAAAAAAAAAAAATAGCCTACAATCACTATTTATAAATGGCATAATACTGCGTCACATATTTTACATATTTCGTATTTACAACACTAGAAGAAGAAGAAGACATTATTTTTTAACGAGATTTCTGTATTTTTTATTTTCTTACGAAGTAAGGTTAGATTATATTATATAATTTCGTCAAAATTTAAGTAGTCGAGCGTTTGGAAAGATCGTATTTTATGAAACCCGTTAACATATCGTAGAAAAACCATATTTTAGAAAATACATAATATTATAGAGTTCATATATCATATTTGAGACAGAGTCACTTCATATATGTAAGTGAACAACATCTTATTTTATACGGTTGTACGTAATCAATTATCATTATATATCTGTATACTATTAATGTTCTTGAACAGTGTTTGATTTATCTTAACTATTACTTTCCAAGTTTCCGGTGACACACGAGGCATATCCCATTAAGTCGTTTTTGATTAAAAACAATGGTTTATTGAATTAGATTGTCTAGATATTACACTAATTTTAAAAATATTCAACTAAAAAGTATATAAACCTTTTAAAAACCCATCACATTATTGTATCACAATTTTCTGTGCAGTTGATTTTCTAAAAAATTATATAAAACCTGCTCTTTCGCCCTCATTCTTCTTCTTCTTCGCCTTCATCTGAGCTATTTGGAGTAGGCTAATCTCATCCTAGACTTCTATTTGACCCGATTTCTCAAATATACTAGGTGTCCTTGAGTGCCCTTATATTATTCTCAATTATATTTAACCACCTCTTTTAAGATTTTCTTCTCCTTTTATTTCCTTCTACTTTTATTTGCATTACCATTCTTACTGTTTCTGATTTTTCTCCCCCTCATGAGTCATTGAGCGATTTCCGGGAATGAAGTCCGGTGGAAATTCTCAGGAATATTCAAGATAATTTATTTAATCGGTTTTACTATATTTTTGTAGAACTCACCTCTAAGTGTCATTGGAATTATCTTGTCACTTAAAACATCTTACGATTCTCTCCATTTCATTCAATCACACTTAATTTTATGTCACAAACCCTCTTCTTTTTGTTGTTGCCACTTACATCCGAGAAGGTCATGACAATTCGTTCAAGATTTGTTTAGGATTATTCTATCTATGTATTTGACACAATTTTTGCACCGGTTGTCGACCTGACGCAACCCTATTTGTCACTTCTTACAACATGTAGAGGTACCGTGGGAGTGTTCCGATTTCTCCGATAGGGACAGCTATTTCACCCTCATTACCTTTGCGTTTTTCAATTTTCATATAAAATTCATACTGTCTTATCTCGATTACCTGGGTATACAATATTAATTGTATAATATTCAACAGTAATTATCATTTCAATTTCTTAACGAAACTGGTTCTGTATTATATTTTAAAACCATAATTTCCTATTATATACAACTATAATTACTATATTATATTATTATTTTCTCTTATTTGAAGTTTATATTTCGTTTACGCAACTATACTGCAGCAGTTGACACTATATAACTGTAATGCGGTGTCAAAACAAGATATTTCGAGATCGTGTATATGTAGGTAGGTATCCATTAAATTGGGTATTAGGATTAAAATCTTTGTGAAATTCCCACCGAGTCACGCGGTTATATTATACAGACGAAAGATAATATCATTATCATTATAATAATATTATATGTAGATTGTAGTTAGGTATACCTTGTTCTCGGACATGAGATTAACCATCGCGTCGTAGATAACGTGCTCGGCCGGCGGTTGAATGTTGGAGAAAAATATCTGTAGAGCCGATCGCACAGTGTCGATTGTGGCGTTCTGGTTTGCGCTGGTCAACTCCAGTATGACTAGACACAGGGCTTCGGATAACGGTGTGAATTGTCCCTGGTTCAAGTCCTCTACCACGCAATCTTCGACGTCTCCTATAAAAATTACGACTTCCATATTTTATCTTACCACGGTTAGGTTACCTACAAGTACATTATGCTATCTGATCGATAAGCGACGTGAAAAATAACGACCGGTCCTTACCGATTTTCGTGATCACGTAGCTGATTGGTGGTCTAAGCACGTTACGACACCAAGCCCCGCGGATCACTTCCATGGAACACGGGTCCCCCGTAAACAAAAGTACGCCCGGCGATACGTATCCTTCGTATTTGATCACTTGCATTGCCTCCACGAGACTTCGATTCCAGACGCATTTTAGATTTGATTCCAAAAAACTCTGCAGAATAAAAAAGTCCAAGAATATAAATTCCGGAAGAATATAAAATTTTTAATACGATTTCAACATTTCTATTTTATTTCTACTTGCTAATGTAGAGAATAAAAGAAATCGTATGTAAAATTTAAAAAACCGACAAAGCCGGTAATAATGTATGGTGGATACTCTGTACGGATATAATTTTGTCAATCCGTCACGGCATGGCCGAGCATTTTACTTTCGTGTTAAACAAGCACATTTTGTAGTTTTTTAAATCGTTTTCCAGAAAAGTCAAATTAAAATAATTCGTCGATTAAATTTACAAATGCTCGTCATAAAATTTAAGTGCATGCAAATTAAGGCGTATTAAAAATGTTGTATAGAGCTCGACCGTTACGAGTTAAGGGTGTTACGATCAATATCGATGCCTGTATGGTATGCACAATGATCAGTAGATAAAGCTACAAAGCGAGAAGAAAAATATGTTGCAAAATTAGGTTTTTTGCGAGAGCTCAACCAGTTATCGTTAGTGCGAAAACATGCACTTTAAAAAAAATATGTTTTCTGTGTAAAAAAAAAAATAAACATGTTTGTTTTGTTATTAGCGTGCACTTTAACGCACCATATTTATTACGCGTTATTTTGATTTTATTATTCGCATCGTTAAATTATATTTTACGAGATAAAAATGCACGATGTTTTTATTGATTACAAAATTATAACGAATTATACGAAATGCATTGAGGACAAAAATAGAAGGATGCTTGTCACAATATATCCAAACGAAACGTTCGGATGCAAACCAATGACGGAGAAGATAACGCGTTGTTATAATGTATAGTATACACATGCATGTACTCGTACATAATAGTGATAGTCCAATACCAGTGATTTTCTCGGACAATTTTAAGTGGTTTAAATAATTTTTGTTTTTTTTCAATCATTATGCGGTCATTTAAGCTTTATTTTAACACTATTTTCATTAAATTTAAATTAGTATACATTTTTGATTTTTAAATTAGGAACCCTCTTTTTTGAATCCTGGAATAAGAATCCTTGGTAGACAAAATGATTAACACAGTTACCAAACTTTGGTATTATGGTAAAAAATAAACAAAATATACATTTAACCATCAAATTTATTGTCATTTATTGAAAACATTTTTATTAATAAGACTAAGTAGGTAATACTCGTATTATAGAATAATACGAATTATTATTATTTTGATACACTTTTGTTGCCGCTAAGATGTTGCTAACTGATTACAGTCGGCTGTGAAATATTTCAAATACTGAATATTAGTAGCAGATATCATTACTCCATTGTTCTCTAATAAATATTATCATGGATTCATTTATGACACCCAAGAATTTAAGAAAACGCCAAACAAATTTTATTTTATACAATATGTTTTAAACAGTTATAGCGGTTAGTGTTAATAACTTCAGTATAGTATGTATAGTATATTAAATATAAAAGCAGCTTTCCCTCTCAACTTACAATAGTAAGACAAATTAATGGTTTTTAATATTGATATCGATTGAAGGGCTAAATATCCACAGTTCATTGATTAAAAACAATATTATGGGTTGGCGATTTTTTTTTCCGATTATCAATCATTTTTCCCCGATTTTTATCCTGAATACTAAATTACAAATTCGAATGGATAATATTGTTTTGTACATTTTGATATGCGTATTACACTTATATTGGATTCACTGTAAATAATTAATAACAGTTTAAAGTTTAGACTGGAGGAGTAGGAAAGAGTTTTATCAATTTATCATCTAAAAGTGGATATGTTGTTTAATCACTTATGAACTGCTGAGAAAATTGCGGGTTTGTGATTAATGGATCGCCCTTTATGTATAAGATGTTATGCGGCTGACGACTGCTGTGATTATATAAAAAAATAAATTAATAATAACAACAGATTACTTCATTTTCGGCTGCGGCTTTAAAAATCTAATTAATTCCGATAGGAAATTATAATAATAATAATATTATGACGGTGTATATATTATCGGTACTCGCCTGGAATATCAGATACCCGTTGTCGTACATCCAATACGGCGAAGCTTCCGACTGTTGCGGGACGTACCGGACTAGCGACTGTTTTTGCAGATGAATTGCCATACATCGTTTCAGTATGTAGTGGCATCTGCATCCCACGGGACTTTTGATCCGGCTACGACCGCTCATCGTTTATCGATCACGATGACTGCACCAATCTGTAAACACGTGAAAATATCGTTATATACATATATTGTCGGTGAAGGCAATGACGCAGTTGCAATCAGGGCGTTCAAGATTGGTATTATAGGGAAAATGCCGATAGAGGATAGGTCGAGATGTTGGACGAACATTTTGAATGGATGAGAAACGGCGAAATAGTCAGATGGATGAATTAAGTGTGTATAGATAGAAGTCGGAGCAGAGATAGGTCAAAGAAAAAGGGGCTGGAGGTTATTTTAGAGGAGATATTTGAGGGCATATAGAATATTAGATGAAGAAATGTTGACTGATTTAAGATAATGCGTTGGGCGAAAATCGAAATACAATTAGATTCCACTTGTATGGGGGTAAAAGTGAAGGGGAAATAAATCGTCGGTTGCTAATTTCGAGAATAATATATACCTACACATATTGTTATCAACTACGTCACTACGGTATATTTTGTGTAGATATACCGCCAGTTTATTTGATCGGTGGTTACAATAATTATTTGTTTGCAAAATATTGATGTTACAATAATACATTTTGCTTTTCCTACTCCGTCTCTTTTCCTAGCTATATTTGGACTCTGTCACATCGGTCCTGAATCTCGACACAATCTTCCGAATCGTCTATAACCAAAACCGCTTTTAAAGTCTCTGCAGACTTTTATCTCCTCTCCCATATTATATGGTATAGATTATTGAAACTATCGATTTTACAATTACATATATATGTAATTACGTAATACAATATTTTTATTTTTGAACATTATTATACTTCTATCGGCATCGCGTTACAAAAGCATTCGCTCGAATATAATATTATATATGTTTGATATTTATTATTGCGTCACATTGAATTTTTGTTTTTTTTTTTGATAAGTATTTTACCGAACACTGCGAAATGTATTATTATACCTGGCCACATTGTTGTATTGCCACTGTCGACGCCGCCACAGTTTAGGGCCCCCCGCGGGGTCGTTAAAGTCTCCTCGCACCGACTAACGGATACGTGTGTGTATAAAATATGTGGTTTATTACATATATAATATACAAGTATTATATTATGTGTGTGTACACTGTACATTTTATATATTATATTGGCAATAAAACATTTTGCCGGGAGACTAGTTTTGCACGTATACAAACGGGTTTTTTTTTTTTTTTTTTTTATAGAACTGCGCCTTCGTCGTCGTACCGCAATGTGTGCGTACCTATAGCATATACCCTCGTTTCCTCCACAGAATTTCCATTGATGCGAAATATCGAAATAATAATAATAATAAACGCGCACGCGCACACACGACTTTCACATTTCTCGCAAATGCTCGTATATAACGAACGTGTTTTATTTTGTTTCCTTTAAACACAGTCGCGATATGCGTACGACACGCGTAGGTATATCGATATCTATCCGATATAGGTATATATACAAAGCAAATCATAATATATTATATCCCGTTCGCGACTCCATTAGCGTCTGTATATATAGTATATTATCCATACTTAGAATATATAGGTATTATATTATCATATACACGCATTATTATAATATATAGGAATATCATAAAGAAAACACTTGCATATAGGAGTCTCGGGAGACTTTCACACGAGTCCTAGTTCTCCATTAAACATAGGTAGTGATTAAAGTGAGAAAAACTTCGAGAAGGACTATATTCACCAAAAGTGAAGAGGCGTACCCACACACTAAATAAACCAAACGACACTATCACCAGAAAACCCTTTGAGTCAAAATTTCCGAATTTTCATTCCACATAAACAACTTGTAAAAAAATTATGTTCGAATATTGGATCACGAGAAGGTACCATGAGAGTTTTTCTTGTAAAACAATAAAACATCTTTGGATTAAAAAAAATAAAATCAAGACATATTGCGTATACCCCTTGATGTAATGATGTGTAGTTATTAAACTTTAAACCTAATTGAACTATTTTTTAAGATTGGTTAAGACTTATATTAATTGTAAATATTAATAATTTGTAAAATATTCACCATCAGAACCACCCTTTACTGTTCCTTTTTTTTTTTACAAACCAGTATCATTAAATTTTAATCTTGCTGCAGAAGCAAAATTAAAAGAATTAAAAATATCACTATCCTTGCTGATTTTCAAATCTAAATATTCTATAAACAATAGTAAAAAATATTTACTTAATATAATAACCATGTGAATGCCCATACTCGTTGAATTATTTTCAATATGCCTAGCTATACCGTATTGGTATACCCGTGGGAATAACGTAGCGAAAATAGTTGTCATAGGTAGACATTTCGTTGAATTTGGGCTAGCGTTATCTAGAGTAAAGTTAAACACAGTGTTGTACACAGGCCTTAAAGTGGCACAAAAAAAAAGCAAAGAGTACTATTACAATACCTCTATATTATTTTAAGTACTAGTTTAATACTGTTTTCATGTCTGTCGTTAAAGTAAAAAAAAAATTAAAAATAAGTCAAATTGGAAATCAGACCAAATGATTTTGATTCATCATTTTCGTGAGGGGAGGATATCATATATTTAATTTTGTTCTTAAAACCGTCGATCATTTTTCCGAAGACTTCGAATTTTCGTTCGATTAAATACATATATCCTATACGTTATCGTGCGACAATAATAGATAAACGCCGAATAAACTCTTAACATTAAAACTGACTATTCCTAGAGTGTTAATTTTTTTTTTTTTTTTATAATTCGTATAAAACGCACATATCCACGCACCATGCCGTAGTAGTTCACTCGACAAGAAGGAAATGCGTGCGTTTATAAATAAAGAACATTTTGCTATTCAAATTATATTAAAACGCCGCGCACAATGCCGCCACCCAAATTATTGTTCTACTATACTCTCTCTGTATACCCGAACTTAAAAGTGGAGTATCTTGTCAACGGGTTGATGGAAATCAAAAATATTAACATCAAAATTTAATTTAATCTCCATATATTTATGGAATTTTTTAATACAGGTTGCCATATTAAAATCAAAAATAGATATTCGTTTTACTCCCAAAATAAGAGTGACAAAAATAATGATAGTGTAACATTTTAGATCAGCTTGTCAAAACAATTTGTTTAATGAGATTATGAGTGCACCCACTTAAATTGATCACCTTGCACATACATTATAAATTATAATATGTTACAATAATTATTCGTAGATATTATATGGTTGCATATCGGCCTATGATAATATAGTCATAAAATAAATTAATAAATTAAGAGAATTGATTCTTAGAATCAGCTGGTTCGACTGCTATCGCTTGTGTGAGGTGTAGAAGAATGTCGGATCTCTCGTGGAGTGGTGATCTCAGTTTGGTACACTCTATCATAGATTGATGGGCAACCATAATAGTATCTAATACAATCTTCGTTATAATAAAATATTTTTTCAATCCTCCAGCTATCTAACAAATTTTTAGTTATGGCTAAGGCTAGTGCAGGTAAATTAGCCCATCGTGTTGAATAAAATTCCTATACTTTTACTACTATTGCATAGTATACTTTAAACTATCACGAATAAAATGTTGCGATAATCGCCAATCGTTATCCACGAATCATTAATAACTACACTCAACTTGGATACAGAATAAATTTTAATAAACTTAAGTATATAATATAATATATTATGTTGTACGTTTTTGAGCGGTTTTTATTATTTGTACTATTATTTATAGCTATATCGCCGTTCTTCGAGGTCACGTCGTTGTTTATTACTATTCTTAATTAATATAATTTGTCTGATGGCATCTATGTGTTTATAATTAATTATTAAACATAGAATGCATAATATGATACAGGCATCATACTAAAACAGACTCAGAGGAGCGATCGTTATTGGCCCCACCCTCGGCTCTGTAGGTATTTCGATCGCCTCTCTCACTTGCGTATATAGGAAACAATTATATTAAATTACTATTACGAAATATAAAATTGCATGCGATACATTAAAATAAAAAAAGTAATTATTCAGAGTCGGTAATGTTTGAAAACAAATTAATAACCCGTGTTACATAGGAAAAAAATAAAACCCTGTGTAGGTACCATCATAATAATGGGTAGCTCAGAGAAAACCGTTCAGACGAACCAGGAGCGAGCGCGCCGAATTGTTCAGCAACAGCAGCTGTTCAAATTTTCAAGCACCTTTTTTCACGATACCGCGGAGGTGGTAACCGCCGGTCGTCCGCGGTTATGAACATTTTTAGCCATCTGTTCGGATGCATTTAGGTCACATGACTGCGGTACATATATGTATATACTAAAGCTATTCATTAACGGTAAACTATACATATAAGCTTACATTTGTAAACCCACCTACTTCAAATAGTGCACTTTACGTAATTTTGTTGATCTCACGGGATAGTAAACGAAAAACAGTTTCATAATAATTATTGTAATTTCAGAGTTATTTTTTCAGCCTATTCAGTAAAACATTTTAAATATTCATAGGAAGTGAGTGTACGGTGTTCAGGCAATAAACACGGACGGAGGGAAATTGAGCTGTATATATATATATACTAGTATTATACGCACTGTCTGCGAAATAAAAGTTCGAAACGTATGAAAGTACAAAATAATAATATATTATGCGGTCAAATTCGCAGATTTTGTTTTTAACCCTTATAAAAACCGAAAACGAAATAACACTCAATTATAATACTTACACAATTACTACTATCCGCGAAAGTAAACACGAATTATTTCAATTTTTTTTTTTTTCGTATAAAAATTAGAGTTTACGAAATAAAAAACAAAGAAAAATCGTGACGGACACCTACACTCGTTGCTTTTATTAATGCTGCGGTAACGTCTCGCGTGGTATAATCGTGTGTAGGATATTATTTATTTCGATTTTTTTTTTTGTTTACCGATTCTAAATTGATTTTTCGCCGTAGGATTCCGGCGCCGCCGCCTCCGCATACAATAATACTGTAAAT